AAGAAGGTTACATATTGGCACATATGAAACAACAAAGTTTTGAAGTCCCCCTTCTTTCACAAGTAATGGCTTCCACTCAACATGGAGCTGACCAAACAGCATGGAGCCGGCTTCCCGGGGGAATCAAGAAGCCGGGTGGCGTGTAACAAGACACCACCCGGCTTCCTGATTGGCCAGGAAGTTGGCTCCATGCTAGCGGAAGTACTGGTATCGGTACTCGGTATCAGTGAGTACCGTAATATAAATATCGGTACTCGTACTGGATACTGAAAAATTGGTGCATCCCTAATTTTATTAATGGTTGTATTTAATTTTGCTCCATAATCGATGGCTAACACGGTACTGCTATATACAATATAAAGATTGCCTTCAGGTATACAGACATGACATTTAGACAACAGACATGATTTTTAGACAGAGATATCAGGTATACTGGCTATGTTTCTTCACTATAGGTAACTTGTAAAATGATCTCAGTAGCTGAAACATCAGTGGATTAAAAACAAGATTGACAAAGGACAACTGTATATTTCATAGCTTCCACAGTATCAATTAAAGCTACTATCATTTCCATACGTAGCACAAACATATTATGCAACATTGTACACAGAAAATGGCAACATTCACATCAGTGCCTGTCCCGATGCAGCTTACAATACAGGATATGCGGATATTTTTGGGAATGTTTACTGCAGTTACCATCCTTGTTTAGGACTCACGTGTAAAAAAAACCATGAAAACACATTTCACACAGATGTCCCTTGCAATTGAAAACTGGCATAGGGGAAGAGAGAGTGCACTGCACATACATGGCTTTTGATCATGGAAGTGCACTTGTCCTTGTGACGCTGGGGGTGAGTGCCTGGGTGCCAGGAAAAAGACTATGGCCAGGCTTTAGGGGTGCCCGAAAGGGCCTACAGCTTTGTCATTTGCATTAAACAAGATTTTGATAAACTGCACATTGATTTTAGCCTACTGAGGCCCCTTGTCTGCGTGTGCTGAATAATGCAGAAGAGGAACTCAACCTTTTAGATAGAACTGTAGTAGCCATAAGTTTAGTTGTTTTTGAAAGAGTGGGGAAGAGTTAAAACCTTTTTAATTTTTATTGTCTTTTTTGTCTCCCTTTGGAAAATTTCCAGGACAGAAAGTGAGCATCCAGTGGAGATGCAGACTACAATAAATCAACAGTGAGGAAGGTTAATACAAAATCTAGCTGCTGCTAGGTCCCCCTAAAGTCCCCTTAGTTCCTGTATAGTTTTTGGAACTCCCCAATTTCCTCAAAGCAGACACATAATAATCAAGTCCCAACATTTGCCTACTGTACTCCAAAATGCTGAAAGTGACACTAAACTCAGGAGTTAAATCTTAGCTTACCTTAACTATTAACACAAATGTATCCTATTTGTGTATCACTCTCAGCTCAAATGATCTCTGAATTGGTGCTGATACTGTCCTTTCTTTTGGAGGGTGGTTACTTTTGTTCCCCATGGTCCCTGTGGATGTGGTATAATAGCCACCACTCCAAGCTCCCTCCCATGATAGACTACAGTCTCAAACAAATGAATAAACTAAACATCAGATTGTAATCCATCATGGAAGTGAGCTTGGAGCGGTGACTACTTTACAACACAAACAGGGACCATGGGGAATAAAAGTAGCCACCCTCCAGAAGGAAGGACAGTGTCAGCATGAATTCAGAGATGATTTGAGGATCTACAGTTGAGTGATACACAAATAAGCTACATTTTTGTTAATAGTTAAGGACGGTACATGAATGCATTTTTAAGGTTTAACTCCAGATTTTAGTGTCACTTTAATAAAGGTTTTGTATCCAAACTTTTATTAAAATCTACTTTAAAAAAAATATTTTTTCTGATTAATACAGAAACTTGGTACTATACCTCCTCGATCGCGAGCTGCTAAGTTAGTTCCTCTCTTTAATGTAACATCCAATAGGTACATCCCGAGATTAGCGAGTGAAACTTCTGCATTACTGTTCACCATATTGGTAATTTTCTGAAAACAAGAAAAAAAAAATGTTATTTTGTTTAATTATATTTTGTATTTTTTCTAAGCCAGACCCTCAGCATGATTTCTCTGTACCTCCCTGCTATAGAGCTGAACTCCAGGCTAGTATAGAAATACACCCTTTAATCCAGATATATATCAATTAAAAAATTAATTTGAAACACTCCTGATATACCCACGAAATCGACCCTCATGGCTATAGTGTGACTGTTTGTTGTTATCGTTCTTCATGCACTTAACGTATTATTACTGAAATATTTGTTCACTATTGTGATCTAGTTTGTCACTTTTGTTACTGGGACATATCCCACATTGCATGTCTAGATTGCAGTCTGCATACTACTACCTGATATACAAGTACAATGCATGTCAATATTTGTTCATATCTGTATTGCTCTTTCCACAATAAAAATTAACATGCTAAAAAAAAACACTCCTGATATAAGTGTCTCAAATCTACCTCTATATTAGATTCCTACAATGCTACACACTTCCACTTGGACCAGACTAAGGCAGTCCAGTGCTGTTAGTTCTCAGGAAGGGAACTCTTTCTCCAGAAGAACCGTTCAGGGCACTAGGAGACTTTCCCATGTGTATGCACAGTTGTGTCATTTGCATTATGGATGAACAAAATTGAGAATTTTCAATTTGTAGAAATGTCAACAGAAAAAAGGGCCATTTTTCGGAAAATGCGCTGGACTGTCACAAACACTGGCTTAAAGGAAATATTTTCTAGAGCTTTTCAGAGTCTGCTATTACAAACTTTATTTGCCTGGCTGTCACTCTGGTCTAGGGCCCTTAGTTCTTTCAGGTCATTGACCCACACAGATTAAGACTTCTGATTATAATATGGGTTCTATTTAGAAGCTATCCACAGGGCACTTCACCCCCCGAGAATATCTGAATGGTCACTCTGTGCGGCTATATGCCAAAACAAATGTTCTTTAGTTTCTTTATGATGCAATACTACATTATGGCCACTGGATGGTGCTGATGATCATATTAAATAAATACTTATTTCCTATGCTCCTTTAGCTCTATTTAGTAATCATAATTCAGTATTACATGCAAATGTTCAAAAATGAATTGCACTTGTAAAAAAAAAACACCATGCAAATCATTGCTTTTCAACCCTTTGGCCAGGTGCAATTGCTGGCCTATAATGCAAAATATAGCCTAATATTACAGAGCCATTTATTCCAGGCTGCATACAGAAAGAAGTCCCGAAACAAACGTAATGCAGCTAAGATAGGGCAGAAAAACAATATTTAAGCTCTTGGAATATTGTTCAGAGTTTTCTTTCCAGGATTTTCTGTCGTATGTAGATATTCCTATCATTTTAGCATCTATATCCAATCAATGTTTGGTCCTTTGAAAGCCATAAAATGAAAGTTTGACAGTAGTTATTCCTCAAGAATATTAGTGAGCAGCACCATTAACAGTTTTAATTATCTTAAACAGTTCAGGGACATATTGATGGAACTGCCGAACTGCTTAATTAGAAAGTATTAAACTCTTCAGGGTCAGACAGCTGTGCTCAGGAAAAAACTGTTTATTTGTAACACGTCTGTCATTTCATTGTCTGATGTGAACAAAATGTTTGACATTTTACAATATAGATTCCATATAAGAAATCACGGAACATGCTAGGACAACTTCTTCTATAGTATTCATCAAAGAAAATAATCAATAGAGTAATAACGAACATTATCACACATTGATCTTAAATAAAGATTTATGGATGATGAAAACAAGTGTTCTGCTAACTGAACATGTGCTATAAAAACCTGGACAGATGAGTTTAGATATGCAATATTTGAGTGAAATTGTGTCACAGCTTGCATTTTATTATTTCATTCCTCAGCCTTATAAACCTTGTTTATTACTGTGATCTATTATAGGAAAACGAATACGCTTTCCCATTATGTATATAAATGTTCTACTCTTATGCTTTTATTACCTTTTATTACCAATAAAAAGAAAAGCTTGCCAGATATTACTGTCTTTCAGTATTTTAAAGGTCCACTTCAAACTTGTAAATTAAAAATGATGCACTGAAATGCATAGAGACCATGGGGTGTCTGATCAGGACTTTCATCCTGGAATAGCTGTATTGTACCAAAATATCCTGCTCCATAAATCTTTGTTTCTGTTCATTTTGTGTTCTAGAAACACCAAGTACCACAGCATATGAAGTAGCAGGTCAGGTATTGCCAGTCCCTCAATTTAATCATGGGCCGCATCAACATTATGGTTGCCCTCAAAGGGCCTGTAAGACTTTATAAATGTATCTAATCTTTATAATAATTGCCTCTGCATTCGATTATCACTGGTTTTAGTAATAACTTAATTCCTAGATCTGAAAGTATAAGTCTAGGAAATGGCCTGGTGCGCCGGATTCAGCCCCTGGGCCTTGAGTTTGACACATGTGCACTAGAGGCTCCTTTCTATCAGTAGCAAAGAAAGAGAGAGAAGAAATTGCGGGCGAGACTCGTGTGAGCTAAGGAAGCATATCCACCTAGAAACACTTAGGGGTTTATTTATGTGCAATACACAGAGCTGTCCACTCTGTGAAGGTTCATTCTTAGCAAAAATGAATGTTCTTAGCATATTTTCTTTTCAGATTGAATGTAATATTTGGAAAATATCACATTATAGTCAATAGATGGAGCTGAAGAGCACAGGAAAAATACTTCTTTCCTATGCTCCTCAGCTCCATCTAGTGACCAAAATCAGTTATTTTCTTAAATATTACATTCAACTTGAAAATAAATATACTGAGGATATTCATTTTTACCTTCCAAAGGACGAATAGCTCTGAGAATTGTTTATAAATAGACCCTATTGTATGGATTCAGAATTAGATTATTAAAAGAAAATTAAGATTGAGGTAAATGGACTGGACATTCGGACTGGACAGGCTACCTGCCCTTTCAGGTAGCCTGTCCCCTCCACTGTAGATATTTATCCTGCAAGTTTTAACTATCACAGCCTTGGTGCTTCCTAAATTGAAGGAGCATTGGATTCTCTGCTCTTTTCCTACAATGCAGCACTAGGTTCCAAGTGGGCAATACCCAGTCCCTAGCGCTGTCACAGAGCTTACACAGTATTTCATTGTAGAACACTGTAAGACGTAGCCCCCCCCCCCCCCAAAAAAAAGTTTTCCAATTTTTCTTTCCCCAGGACCACAACCTTGGG